AATGCATTTGCAGAGAATTTTGATTTTTTTTTCTGGACAACATGGCGACAAAAGCGACTTTAGCAGAAGAAGAAATTTTTCTATTGCGTCATAATAAATATAATTTTTAATTGTAAATTTAATGATTAGAACAACCAATAATTAAAAAATAAATTTTAACTCTATGCGCATATTGTGACATCAATTGTCTCCTATATTCTCTATTGATTAAACCAAAGCGTGGACCTCTCCAAAGCGTTAATTTATTGCCTGAAATCTGCAGCAACATAATTCAAAAATTCCGGACTGGGGAAATTTGACCGTGACACTCAACGGCTTAACTTTCTACGGAAACATTATTGACCGACAGTTCTGTAGATTTGTGGCCAATGTGATATTGCTTCAAGCATGATTTCAAAATTTGAAGCTGTTTTAAAGGAAAACGAGTTATAGGACATGATTGAAAAACTCGAGTCCGGGAACAAGCAGCTGAAATGGGTTGAAGAAGCGAATCGCTTGTCTTACGTGTCTGGAAATTGTTTAGAGTTCAGATTTGTAGGAGAAGCTTCGTGTTAAGCTGCTGCTACTTGAGCTTGAGAATTCGATGCTGGGATGTTTATGGCAAATCTTGCGAATGATTCCAATAAGGAAGGCAAAAAAGAACGACCAGTTGGAAAACCCAAAGACAGTGGAATTCAGATCCAGCGGTCGAGAAAATCAGAATGCTTAAACAGAGCAGACATCGCAATCAAATGGTCTCAGCTAAAGTAAGAAAAAACGCGTTATAACCGTATAGTCTTTGTTGGCAGCACATCGTACAGTGGAACCACCATCGTTTGTGAAAACGTCGCCCTCTTGCCATTCCGGCCGCAAGAACAAAGCCAGTGGTCGTTCTCGGATCATGTTACAGAACGCGGATCATTTGATCTCAAAATCGACTCGAAACGCCTGTGGGAAACGGTAAAAGCATAAATGCGAGTCGATCGATTAACGTGTTGTGTGGGTGTTGAACAGTGTTATTTTGAGACTGTCTCCATTTTGAAACCTGTGCATTTAGCAATCCTCGTGAGCCCTTTCTCATCGACAGAAGTAGCGAAACACCCCCATTATCACGTTACTTGACGCACGATCCCTAGTCGATAATGAAAAAGCCATGCCTTTGCATTCATTTTGCTTGTTATGGCAATCATGATGTGATCCTATGATCTTCAGGTTAGCTAAGGATAATCATTCCTACAGTGAAACTATGGCAAATTGCCTAAAGTCCAAATAGAGCAGCAAAAACCAACCTGCAAAAATTTGTCGCTTCAGAAAGATCGAGAAATTTTATTCAACAAAAAATTCTAAGGTGGAAATTACATCCATCCTTTATCACCGAAAATTCTCTGACATGGACAAAGGCAAACTTCATTTCGGTAATTAAACATAAAAGAAATGCAAATTGTGTGTGCTTAGAGATTCCGAAAAGTTTCTAATCACGAAAATGGTTGTCAAACTAGATGAATCTGAAAAGCATGGATTTCACGCTGAAACTTGCAACAGGTAATGACACTTTTTCTGAGAGGGAAAGAACCATTAGTGAAATTAATTTAGATATTGGCGTTGCCCTGGAAACTTTTGGATTTATTAATGCTCGCAAATATCTTCCTCCTATTTAAAGTTGCAATTATCGCAAATGACGCTTTGTCTCATTTGTTTATTCGGTGTTGATTCACCTAATTCCCTGCTCATACAATAGAACATACTACAGTTTGCAAATATATGGTAAACCAGGTGACTAAATCCAACTCGACTTAAATCATATCCAATGTCGGATAGTATGAGGTTATCAGTGTTTCGTTGAAGGCGTGAAAAAACTTACTTAATAACTATTACAGTTAGTAAACTCGCAGGAGTGTCGAACTATGACCATATGAAGAGACAACACTCTATTCGTTGAAAGGTAAGCTCTTAACATGAAACTTTTAATGGTTGATTGTGGACAAAATTGATCGAGCAAAATTAAAAGCTGGCAGCAAGGAAAAACTTAGAATGGGATGAAGGCTTGCAACCGTCGGTAAATCGGTCTTTCATACCCATTCATAATGGGGCCATCTCTGATACCCTTTTTTTAATGAAGTTAGTGTCAGACCGCGATCTCCATCGCCATGCTATCATCCAGGAGTGTCTTAATTTTTTAAAGTCATGATAGAAACCAACTAGGTGGCAAGAATGTTTCTTTCAAAGGCAGTGCTACTAATCTATCAACCTCAAGAAGAAGAAAAGCGAGTGGTCCAACTGTATGAAATGGAACAGGTAGTCTCTCGATCCGGCAGTTTTTCTTCGCCTTGCGTAATCAGGTTTCTTTGATTTTCTCGTTTTTTGAGTGGTTTTGAATCAAATTCTGGTATTAGCACCTTTTTCTAATTGAAGTTTTTTGCTGCATTATTCAACTTCCTGATTTCCTCATCCAGTCAACATTCCCTGCTTTGCCTTTAGGAGGAGCTGATTGCACCAATTTATCGACGATGGACTGCTTTTAATGCTGCAATGCAGCGTAGCAAACACTTTTTCGATGCATTCAAAGCGCTGTATTATTCTCCACAACGCAGGAGTGTTTCACTGTTCTCCTCCTTCCCTCAACTACATTTTTCGCGAAAGAGATAGCGCCTCCTTTGAAGTCTTTGTAGGCCTATTAGAGATTGTTACTTCCCGATGGAACACTAGGGGAACAGTAATATAATTCGCTACCTCTCTTTTGTGATTGATCGCGTGGTTTTTGCATGATAAAATATGCTTGCCCATGAACAAGCAGAAACAGATGGAATGGGATTACGTCAGTCCAGGTGGCACATTTAACGCGCATCCTATATAATGAACTGCCCTATTTGCTGATATGCACCTGATCCAGTTTTATGCGTAAAGTTCCATCGGGCGACTGAAGAATGTTTGTCGCGTAGAAGCTCAGCAAAACCCGCGCCGTTGTCATTCGTGATATCAATTCCATGTATAGACAACAGCGATATAGTGTTATATTCACGCGATGAAGCATTATTATCTGACAAGTGTTCCATGAAAATGACAAAACTGTTCATTATAATGAATAAGACGACGCCAATATCCGCAAAAATCAGCCTATGATAGCTTGCCCACCAAAATAAAGACCCACCTGCATATCATGCTTGTCATGGCGTTCATCGCCAAAGTGTAAAGGTAAACAACATTACATCGGTTGCAATCGCTCTGTTTTTGGTTTTTAACAAATTTTGATTTTCAAATTGAAAGATTGAATACACTTTTCTGATACACTTTCATTTTTTTAAATTCATGAATTAGAGTCTTACATCACTTTGAGGGCGTGGTATCACAGTTACAAAGTGGTCGGCTTTGAAATCCGGAGGTACTGGGATTAAATCCGATCAAAAATTATCTTTTTATTTATCGCGAATTTTTTTAGCAGTAAATTGACTATATGTCGCTTCGACGCAATCAGCTGAGAAGCGAGTAGCATAATTGCGACTTGCGAATAATAGGGACATTATGGTATTCTGCTCTAGTCATGCCGGATCGGGCAACATGTAAGGAGAAGCTGTCCAGTATCAACAGAACTTTTCCATGCATTTCACTTTAACTGCATTTCACTGACAGCTGATTATCTAGTATAACAATCAACTCAAGATGCAACCAAGATTTCGATTTTCTTCCGCTTTCGATTTTTCTGATGAACACAATAACAAGGTTCGACTCCTGTAATTAATTTGAGATTACGTGTAGATCGTTTGTCAATGACTGTATAAAGTTCAAGTCCATTTGTTTCGCGCGAGTTATAAGTGATTACAGCTCACTGTTTCTAGCATGCTTTTGTCAGTTAGGACACTGATGTACTGCCGATAGCACAGTAATACGTGCCTTTTTCATTTGAGTGATTTGTACGTGTTCGTTCACTCTAGGGATATATAGCAACTGATATGAGTCAAGCGGTTCAGCCAACCTTTTGACAGCGATAACTTTGTAAATATCTGATGATAGCAGGCTTTATGTGATTGAAGTATCGATGATTAAATAAAGAATTGAAGCATCTGTGAATCATCTATTCCTATAACCTCGAGAGATTCAATTGTTACACCCCTTGCGTCGTTTCCTGGTCATCTTGCAGGCCGGATGATCGGAAGTCGTCCGCTTTCGCAGTTGTGCCGTACTTGTCGCAATAGCTTCGACAGATCATCGAATTTCAGTTTGTTCAGCACCGTAATGTACTGACCGATCGATCCTTCGTTTTGTCAGTGTCGCAGGTGTCACGTTGACAGCTGACGAACCAACGGTACTCAGTTGGCACCCCGTGTTACCCATGGCCACTGTTTAGCTTCCACATTCTCGTTCAGCGATTCATGGGTCTGTTTCTATCCTCTGTTTTTTTCTTACAGGTGAATACTATCCCTGTAGGCCTAAATCCAGTTTAGCGTAACACCAGCGTTTTCGTTCGTTCTTTTTCGTATAATTTAAAGTTTACTTTCCGCGTGTTTTGTTTCTGCTCCACTTAGACGTACCCGTATTGTTTATATTTCAAAAGTTAGATGATAGGTCGTTTCACGAAGCATAAACGATTGCGAGTTAGAACTGAAAGAACCGATGAGGTTTTTTGCAAACAGGCGATTAATAGCCTGCTTCGGTCTTTCGCCATTTGAGCCTTGAAATAGATTTTCAGCATTAGATTGGATATGATCCAGTTTTGGTTGTTTTCTTTGCTCCATTGGTAACGTTGACCGTAGAAAACAAGATCCGTGCTGTGTACATAAAGAGATTAAAGCATGACTCACTGTCCGGATCAGTGCAACTACTTTCACTGTTTGTCCAGTTATGTTTACTATTGGTTGCTTGTTCTTTATATCCAAGTTGGCGCCACAGACTTACTTTGCATTCGAAGCGTTGAGCTGAAGCTTGAAGTCGATCTTCGTCGATCATGTCGTCGGAAATGGCCGAATTTGTAGCCGACTTTGGCATGCTTTTATATGTCCATAGCGGCCCGGAGGAGCAGACGAACATTATGTTCTCGCCTTTGTCCATATTTATCACCATGTGCATGACTTTTATGGGGTCGCACGGAGAAACAGAGGTCGAAATTCGAAACATACTCTACAAAAGCAAGCTGGACAAGAATGCCGTCCAGACGAGCGTTTCCGCATTGCTGAAGAGCCTTCAAGTGAACGAGGTTGGTGTCCTGCTACGATCTGCCAATCAGCTGTTCTGTAGCGAAACTGTGAAACTCTTAAAGTCGTTCCAAGATGTTATGACCAAAAATTTCGCTTCCGATGTAAAACAACTGAATTTTGCCGACAGTTTCCAGGCAACTCAAAAAATCAACTCCTGGGTGCAGCAGCAAACCGAAGGGAAGATCAATGACTTGTTACCTCCGGATGTGATCGATGAGTTCACCCAACTAGTGCTGGTTAATGCTCTCTACTTTAAGGGAGACTGGAACACTAAGTTTAACGCTAGCGAAACTGTGGAGGAAGATTTCTACAGTAGTCCTTCCAAAACAGTTCACGTTCCAATGATGAAAATGAAAGGCAGGTTTTTGTATGGCGAAGAAAATGGATATCAAGTTATGGCTTTGCCTTATGTTGGACAAACACTGGCATTTTATATAATTTTGCCTACCGAGCGCTTCGGTCTCCAGTCCTTTATGAAGAAGCTAACAGGAGAAAGTCTGATCGCTTTCATGGAGGACGTTTATCCGGCGCCCGTCACAGTATCGATTCCGAAGTTCAAACTCGAAAAGGCTCTTGATTTGAAAGATATCTTAACTGGTGCTGGGCTGTTGACCATGTTTGAAAAGGGTAAGGCTGATTTCACAGATATGAACGGAGCGCGAGATTTGTTTGTTGGTGCTGCAAAACACAAAGCGTTCATCGAAGTCAACGAAGAAGGTAGCGAAGCTGCAGCCGCCACAGCCATGGTTATGACCAATCGTTGTGCTATGGAGGTCGTGGGTGATATTCACTTCAATGCTGACCACCCGTTCCTTTTCTGTATTACAGAATGCAGCACCATGAACATCTTGTTTCTTGGTAGATACATGGGCCCACAGTAACAGAGCATGGGAATACACATCTTGTATAGTTTCTTTGTTGTTTTTGTAGTGTTATTGCGTACATATAGGTTATGTAGTGTTGCGGTGAAGACGGTGACATTGTTGTTTCAAACCCATTGCGGAAGATGCCAATAAGCACTAGTGTAGTATGGTTTTGAATGAACGTTGCATGATTGGCTAAGAAATTATTTGAAAGTCATGGTCAGATGTTGCGTTGTTATTTCATCATACAATGAAATAAAAGGGAAATGCAAGTTTGTAAAGACTGCGTTGTCGGTTTCTCTTATACTCCATAATGCACCCAAACGAAGGCATTCGTCTTGTTATAAAGCACAAGGCGCGTCTCTGATCGCCGCTTCAGTTTCATCAACAAGAGTGTACTGCTTTTGCTATAAGTACCGTCAGCATCAATAACAAACTGTTAGTCGTACTGTTGAACAGGTGAACTACTTTAGAGAGTGCAGAAGTTTTGAAGCTTAACGACTGTGCCGTATCAACAAAATTGACCCTGACGAAAAAAGGAAAATCTTCCGATCCTCAGCCATCCTGATATCTTCATACTGGGACTGGGACGTTACTAAGTGCCGTCTATACGGCGTCCAGTGAACGC